ACTGATGTGTGGATGGATTAAATCAGATTCAGAACAACAGAACACAACATACAAAGTAAATTTAACATTTGTCCCTTATTTTGCCGCATGTTTTTATCTGCTAGCGTCATGTCTGATATCAACCGAGCGTAAGATCACGTCAGATCTTGTGATGTAATACGCAAACTGGAAAAAGGTAGTGATAATGACAGTAATGTTGATTGGCTAATTTAGACTTAATAAGCTGTGTTACCTTTATTATAAGGCACAAATACGTATCACAGCTCAGGACAGATAAAAAGATAGGCCAAAAATGGTTCTTTTGATTGTAAAGTTTGCTGACCCCTGGGCTGACAGGTAACCTTGACAACTGAAAAATATGGGACAAAAGGGAAATAAAAAACAAAACATATGTATACTATAATAAAACATTTTTTTTCAAGTCACAAATAGAAAATAACCTGGAAAAAAAGATGCAGACAGAAAAAAGTTTAGCTTATTTTTCTAAAAATATTTTTTCTTGTGTTTCATGTTTCAATGTCTTTCCGACAAATAAAAACACACAGTGTCACTATAGGCCATTTATATCATTAGCCCCATTCAAACTGTTAAAATGTCCTTCAGCACTACACGATTTTCCATCCACATTATTCTCACATTATTATTTTATTTTGAAGGTCCAGTCCTGGAGCTTCCGGTGTGACCTGCACTAACTATGTCTTGCTTCATACAGGTTTGGCAGCCAACTTTGTGCTGGCTCACAGCGGCCGTGCGCCCTGCAAACAAGGGGACCAGCTCTGTGCGTAAAAGCGCAGCCTTGGCTCAGAGAGAGGCAATGACGTCACAAACATGACCGACAGATCTGATCTGAGGTCAGCTGATACTAACTGTTTTGGTGCCAGATATGTCAGGAAAAGAAGAAAGTCACAGCATCAGTGTTACAGATGTCTTTATCAGTTTTTTTCTGTTTAATTAATTTGTGCTAAATCAGCTGGAGATGATTGAAGAGAACACTGAGCCCGAAATGATCCTGATCCTTATTTAGTTCTGAGCTTCATGAATGTTTCTGCAGGATATTTGCTCTCCATTTTTACAGCACAATCTGTGATCTAAACGGGTCGCAGATTCATTGTAAAAATTGTCACGCTGAGATAAAATGCCAGTAGTACTTTAGTCCTCCTTCATGCTACATAAAGTTCACCCAGTGCCTCCCACTTGTCGTCAGGTGTCTGACACTGACACCACTGACAAAGCGGCGTTATTTGATGACTTAGGACTGAAAACTTTCTGAAGATCAGTTATAAAAAACTTTGTCAGACATAAAATAATTTAAGCGCCTCCATCTGTAAAAGCAAATCAGCAGCTCTCCAGTGAATAGCCACGTCCTTTTCAATCATACACCTGTATAACAAACTGTGGAACATAATATCACTCCCACATCTGACATCAGGTGTTTAAATACAGAAACGAACACTCGACTCAACTTTAATTATTAACATTCTCTGTCAGAGATACAGCAGTTGGTTGAAGGACAGATTGGGTTTTTAAAGTTAAGAACTTCATGGTCAAATTCATCGTTCGCTACGAGGAAACACTGCCATCTGTGAACAACACACACACACACACACACAATTGAGTTGGTTTGTGCTCACTGACGCTCCAGATGGCAACCTTAATCTTCAAACGTCAGGGTGAAAGTTAAAAAAGAGTAAAGAAGGAAAAAGTAAAAGCTCATGAATCACGTGATGAATCATAACTTTTTGGAGTCCACTCTGTCGTATCTTTGCCAAACTACCAGACTAAATCTCTTTTAATTCAGGCGAGTGTTAGTCACCAAAAAGCACTTCTGAGAAATGGGCTGACCCCAGAGCTGTTAGAGCTGTTCATCGTGTGACTTTATCCCTGAACCTGCCACCTTCTCCCCGCAGCGTTACTTTAAGTGCATTCATCTCATATTCTAATGGAGCAACTGACTCTGATGATCAGGGCGGAGTTCTCACAACCAAACCAACACAAGATATGTGGTTTTACATGAAAAAGAACAGATTCCTGGACACACAGCTGATCTTTGCTGCTGGCTTTCCCTCCTTTGTATCCCCCTGTTAGAGATGGAAACACAAAGTGAAGCGCTGTGCTTTCTGAAAGAAGAAATCATGCAGGTGTTAGCAGAAGATAAGCCCATCTGTGGATTTTATCCCACTCTGCTGTGGATTTCCTGCCTTTCGTGGACTCCCAGATGTGTTAAATCTCACTCCTCGCCTACCTGCAGCTCTTTAATCCCAATCACTGACGGTTGTGTGCGAAAATCTTGAAAACGCATCTCAGGCTTTTTGCAGATTGTGTCGGGGAGGTGTATCTGAAGTGAAGCGCAGAAATCATAAAGACTGAGAGAGATCAATGTTCCCTCTGATCGTGTGTGAATCTGCGACTAGTCATTACCCATATTCCCGTCAGTTTTCACTTCCTGCTTCACTCGCTTTATCGCAGGTTTGAAAAGTTTTGATGGTCGTTTGTATTTAATGCAGAAAAACATGATAAAATAATGTTGATGTGAAGCCGTCAATGTGTGATTGTCACATCATTTATGACACTTTACTACAAATCATGAACAAAACAGCTCCATCGCAGAGAAACTTTTCCTTTACTCCACCTGGAGAACCACCAGATTTGGCAACACAGCTGCCAGAGTAATGTTAAAGGATCAGGAGTGTCTTATAAAACAAAGTACAGACTCACACAGCAGTAATCTCTCTACAGCCATCTACATCATGTGGGAAACACTGGGCGGAAACCCACGCTGACACGGAGAGAACATGTCGGAGCACCTGGAGGAAACCCACGCTGACATGGAGAAAACATGTCGGAGCACCTGGAGGAAGCCCACGCTGACACGGGGAGAACATGTCGGAGCACATGTACAAATGTAACATACCCATGGTTTGCAGGAATGTACAACACCTACATTTTCTCTGGCGGGTAAATTGAGCACATTAATTTCACAACATGCCATTAGAGGAAGCTATTTTAAATCCATGTCATGCATAAAAATGAACCAGCCCCATCTCTCTCTCTCTCTTACACACACACTCACACACACACACACACTAAGTCACTCACATGTTATTAATTCATTATGTAAATGTGAATCAGTTTGGACAGCACTCATTTATTCTCTTCCAGCCCTCAGCACTGTCTCCCATCACTCCCAGTATCTCTCTGCCAATCTCCCACTTTCTCTCTCCTATTATCTCATTATGTTCACTGTCCCATCTGTTTTCCCTCCCTCCATCTCATCTCCTGCTCCCCTCCTCCCCCACCTCACACATGGCCAAAAGTTTGTGGACACCTGAATAAGGCAGACAGCGGAGCATCACTGAGGTCCAGCACTGGTGTCTGTGGGCAGGTCCGACTTGTGTTGGAGGCAAAGAGAGGTCAGACCAGTTGAGTTCTTCGGCACCAAACTAGGAAAACATTACTTTATGGAGCTGGTTTTATGTCACGTTAAAACAGGAAAGGGACAAACACAATATTTCACTTTATTCCAACAGAGGAGTCTACACCAGAGATACTGAACCTGCTTTCTCCAGGGGCCACTTTTGCAAAATGACAGGAGGTCAGGGACCAGTCAGCGGCGCTGCACATGTACTCAGGGGTGCTTCTAGGATTTGAGGACATTTGGAGCTTCGCCTGGACGTCTATTTTGATGATTATCTATCCCAGCTAATCTTGATGCTTTGTTACGCACTCTGGCACCTTTAGATGCTTTCAAACCAGTAGCTTGCTGCCTGCTGTCATTTCAGTGGAAGGAAGGCTGCAGAGGGGAAGCCGTTTCAAACATGGCGGTAAGGGTGAGGCAGTTGCCGCCCACTTGAACAGCACAGATTTTGTCCCTCCAACAACAAAGACACGCAGTTATGTTTTGCCAACACACACATTCTGTTGGATTTAGGCAACAAAAAAACAACGTTTGGCTTTACAATCTTACAGGAAGTGAACACCGGATAAAGTCGATTGTTGTTGGACCCATCTGCCACCTCTCCTGCTCGCCCTACTCGGACTTCCGCTGCCTTAACATTCGTTGTTGTCGTGCTGTGTTTTCCCCTGACAGCAATCGGTCACGTATCATGCTGACGTGAACCTTTTTTTTGTTGGTGTCTGATGCTGCAAGTCACTGACCAAACGCTGGTTTTCGATGACTTCATAGTGAGACCAAGGCCTCTAGTTTCGCAGACCAGGCGAGGCGGAGGCACCTGCGCTTCGCCAACTGGGTGTGGCCAGGCGGATTTTGTCAGTTTGGCACACTATGCGCGCTGGCGCAGCTACTCCTCTTTCCCACCTCTGTCCCTCCTACCTGTGCAAGTCGGAAAGAGGGAGGAGAGAAGGCGTGGAGTGGGTTTTACACACATCACACCAATCAAATGAGCCCCTCTCCTCGCCCTTAAATGCACCGTGCCAAGACGTAATGAGAGTTTACTCAATTCACCATGGCAGAAGAGAGCAGCAGCGTCAGACGGCCAAACTTCTCCCAGGAGGAAACTGATGTTTTGGTCCGGGAGTAATAGTAGGTAAGTAGGTAAGTAATAGTTTGCTCTGGCATTGCGGAGGCCCCTCTTATAAGTTTTGAGACTGTCTGCCCAGATTAAACAAGATTCTTCCAGTTTGGTTAATCGCCAATTCCTTTCAAATTTTCGCGATATTTGTTTTAACTTACGGGTTTGAGAGTTATACCAAGGACAGAGTCGAGTGTTGTTCACAGCGAGCCTACAGCGCTATCGACAAAATGATCAAAGTAGGTACAGGAAACCTCTGTTACTGAAGGACTTGGTATTGAATTTAACGACGGAGTAATCTTTTCCTTAAATTTTGCGACAGCACTATCTGATAAACATCTAGTATAGTAACTGTTGCTGAGTGGCGTGTAATCGAGTAAAAAGAAATCAAAAGTAATCAAGTAATGATCCGATAGTGAGGGATTCTGTGGAAAGACTGTTAGGTTATCAATTTCAATTCCATACGTCAGAACTAGATCGAGGGTATGGTTAAAACAATGAGTGGGTTCATGTACACCCTGACTGAAGCCAATGGAGTCTAATAATGAGATAAACGCAGTAGCCAGGGAGTCATTATCAACGTCGACATGAATGTTAAAATCGCCTACAATAATAACTTTATCTGATTTAAGAATTAAACTGGATAAAAACTCTGAGAATTCAGATACAAATTCAGAATACGGGCCAGGAGCACGGTACACTATAACAAATAAAAGTGGCTGCGAGGTTTTCCAGGTCGGATGTAAAACACTAAGAACGAGGCTTTCAAATGAATTATATTCTAGTTTAGGTTTAGGGCTGATTAACAGACTAGAGTTAAAAATGGCTGCAACTCCCCCTCCTCGGCCGCTGCCTCGAGGAATGTGGGTATTATTATGACTGGGAGGAGTGGACTCATTTAGACTAACATATTCATCTTGACACAGCCAGGTTTCAGTGAGACTGAATAAATCAATATGATTATCTGATATTAATTCGTTTACTAACACTGCTTTAGACGATAGAGACCTGATATTTAACAGTCCGCATTTAATTCTCCTGTTTTGTCTTTCTGTCACAGAAGAGGTTTTAATTTTTATGAGGTTGTTATGCACAACTCCTCTTTGTTTAATTTTAGATTTAAATAATGTAGGTGGTCGGGGGACATACACCGTTTGTATAAAACTATGAAAACTATGGCTGGGTAACTGAACTAGAAGCTCAGAGAGGCGTATAGGACTGCGTCTCCGAGTCCTGATCTCAACTCTGGGTTGTCAGGGATTTAAATTACTAATAAAATTTGCCAGGGTTCTAGAAATGAGAGCAGCTCCATCCAAAGTGGGATGAATGCTGTCTCTCCTAATAAGACCAGGTTTTCCCCAGAAAGTTTGCCAATTATTAACTAAACCCACATCGTTTGCTGGACACCACCTGGACAGTCAGCGATTAAATGATGACATGCGGCTAAACATGTCATCACTGGTCAGCTGGAATAAAAGCAGCTAAATGTTGTAAGTAAAACTGATTTAAATAATGCTTTTTGCAGACACAGGTCACAAAGTGCTTCACAAGCGTGTCACACAACAAGACAGAAATGAAATCATAAAGACAAAGTGACTCTGTGAGCCACATAGTGAAAAGTGCACACACACAAAGAAGAATTTGCACAACAGCAATACAAAAATATTGAAGAAGTCCAGCTCTGATGCAGACAAGTTTTCCAACATATGTCCAACATATGTGTGTCTTTAGCTGGCTTTTAAAAGAAACCACAGAGCAGCAGACGGTGAAGGAGCAGGCAGTGTTCCAAAATGTGCTATGGCCACATAAGCTCCATCACCACGTGTCTGAAGGCGAGTGTGAGGGACAGACAACAAATGTGGAGTATTTAATCGAAGAGAGTGCGCTGAAGAATACGGGTGAAGTAGTAGGAAGTAGTAGGAAGTAGTAGGAAGCCAGTGAATGTATCATTGATCTAAACCAAATCATGGAGTGTCCACATACTTTTGGCCACACAATGCATCACCCTCTTTCTCTCTGATTTATTTTCCATCTTTGTTTTCTTTCCTCATCCTGTTGCTCTCTTTGTCTGACATTTCATTTTCTCCATCACTTAAATATCCCTCTCCTCTATCTATCTATCTATCTATCTATCTATCTATCTACCTATCTACAGTATTCTTTCTCGGTCCTCCCTCACTCCTGCTCTCTTCCTCTCTCTTCACACACACACACACACACACACACACACACACACACACACACACACGCAGAGAGAGGGAGAGTCTCTGTGTTTCTGGTGTCAAAGGAGACCCTCCTTCTCTTTACGAGCGTCAGTCGCCTCTCACCCCTTCACTCAGTCACTCCTTCACTCAGTCAGAGAGAGGAGCAGATCTCAGTCAGACATTCAGCTGGCTGCAAAACTTTTTCTCTGTCTCATCAGGTGGTGTCGGAGTAAATAAACCCGCTGTCACTGCGTCTTTACGCGCGGAGCTTCCTGTTGCGCGCCCGGTCCCGTTCCCTCCTCGCCGGAGCGCTCCTCTCTGGATTTTTCCGCCCCGGCGATGGAGGACGACTTCCTCTCCCACTTACCCCCATCCCTGCCGGGAGACTCCGAGTCTCTGAGCCCAAACTCCACGGAGGAGCCCGGCTGGTGGGCGTCCTCTGACGGCGGGGAGACGGTCCACTTCGCCGTGCGCTGCGTCATGACCTCGGTCTACATCCTGATCATCACCGTGGGGCTGCTGGGCAACATCACCCTGGTGAAGATCTTCATCACCAACAGCGCCATGCGGAGCGTGCCCAACATCTTCATCTCCAGCCTGGCGGCGGGAGACCTGCTGCTGCTGGTCACCTGCGTGCCGGTGGATGCCTTCCGCTACTTCTCCGAGGAGTGGGTGTTCGGCGAGGCGGCGTGCAAACTCATCCCCGTCATCCAGCTCACATCGGTCGGCGTGTCCGTGTTCACGCTCACGGCGCTCAGCGCGGACAGGTAGGACGAGCGGATAAGATTCTTATTTTCTATCCTGAATTCATAAATGACTTTAATACATGTTTCATAATTTCCAATAATAGTCCAGAGGTGGTTCCCCGTTAAAACCAATGACATCCTGATGATATTCCCACGAGGAGATTGGGGTCTTTTGTTTGGCCATTCAGTGATGATCAGTCCTTAAAACATTCTGTTATTATAATTATTATATTTAATGTCTAAAGTGCTCAAAATTGACCACTACATGGACCTTGAATGTCTGTGTGACATATTGATTATCAGCAGGTCTTTTATTAACAGAGTATTTTTACACTGATGTGTCACTTTACTTCAAAACATCTGAAAACCTCCACAGATCCCAGATCATTCCTCCTGTGACGTTTAAAGACACTTTATTTCTCTTATTTTATTTATACAGAAAAGGAATTAAAAGTAACATTAGGTGTTATGTGAAGTGATGAAGATGAGAGATGAGATTTGAATCAGTCTGCAGGTGTGTCCTTCCATCAGATAATGTTCATGTGCATGTTTGGAATGTGTAACAGAGGGCGTTGCTCTGGTGCAGTTCGGGATCTCCTTCCAGATTTAAGCATCAGCGTGAAAAAATGTTTACTGAAGCCGCAGAGAGGTCACTAGGTAGCGTTGGATAAAGAGAGCTAGCCGGTGGGTTGCTACTGCTGGGATGCAGTGCGGGACTTGATCAGTCCTCGATGGGGGTCTGATGTTGGAAGACAGTAATCCCGCCATGATCCCAGGAACATCCCTGATGATGCACCCCAAAGCATCCTAGAGATGTATCTTGAAACCTTTTTGTGAGCTGTGCAGGGATAAGTACCTGTGAGCTGATGTGGTGATGCGTTCCTGTCTTGTGTTGTGACTTGGAAGTGGAGCAATGAGTGTAGGAGTTTGGGATCTGAAAGTGAAGTGTCCAGTCAATCTGTGTTTGACTCGGGGGAAATTCCAACAGGAATCATTCAGGTTTTTATGCCACCCTTTGGGACGTCCAGATAAGATATTAAAAGTCTACCGCAAGTGGACCAAGGTAAATTTAGGGGCTGAAATTTGGGGTCATCGTGTCACATCGTCACACAAAGACAGGCGAATCTCTGCTGTTGAATGATGAGGTCTGTGTCACCGCCAAAAGGACAGTTCTTTGCTTCAGTGTTGTGTCACTGCTGTTTGAACCTTGAATACATCTGCGTCTGTCTGAGAACTATGAATGTCAGACCCTGCTCATCTCAGCTCGTCCCCCAACGGAAACTCCATTTGACAGAAACTCCTGGTCGACGTGAATGAAACCTTTCAGCCAGTCTTTGTGTTCCTCTGTGTGGGCACCATCCATCATAGACAGCTGGCATCTTCACCAATCACACATGTTCACCACTGATTGCCCATAATGTTTTCAAACGTGATGAATTTCAGTTTCTGCTATTGCACTTAATGTTTTTCCCAACTCCCAGGGTAGTCGGTGGAGGGAGGTCCCTCCATGTAAAACTACATCAAGTCTCTTTCTGGTACATCACCAGGAGGCAAAAACGCCTAAAATGACATACCCAAATTAAAATGACTAGCTTCTGAACCGCTCTGACTACATGTATGCATGAGGTCTTGCCAGAAAGAAAACTCNCAAAAACGCCTAAAATGACATACCCAAATTAAAATGACTAGCTTCTGAACCGCTCTGACTACATGTATGCATGAGGTCTTGCCAGAAAGAAAACTCTCTGAAGTTTCTTGTGAAAGTGTCAGAAACACTCTAGGTGATACAGAGACAGTGTAATGGGCCTCTGAAGTCAGTAAAAAATTGAAGATTTTGCCTAAAATTAAATAAAAAATGATTTGATGAATAAGGATGAATAACTGTCTGTGGCTTCATCTGAGCAGGTAAATGACACTGTGGGGCTGTAGGCACACTATCAACGAACATTTGTTTCAAATTTTAAGAAGACTGCTCAAAGTATGACCATTCTACAGTGTTTTTTACATGAAAAGATCCAGGCGGAGCTTCAAATGACAAGTCGGTCACTCGGCTTCAAAACAGTACTATCAGTGATCAAACAACACTCAGCCAGCTTCAAACATTGTACCTTATTGAAATCAGGCGTGATTGTGATAGCTGATGTTGTTTATGACACAGAAACACCATAAAATATCACCAAATAAAGCCATATGAAACGTGAAAGTTATGATCCCACTTTCTAGACGGTGTATCTCAGCCAACAATAGTGGTAGGAGTGAGACTCTTACCTTTTATAAAACAGCTACGTGCCTGCTAACAGCTCCGCATGAGATCGCGAGTAATCCTTTAACTTTTCCCGTCGAAAATGGCATGACATGACTTGTCACCACTCATCGTGATTTTGGACTTTGTGTGTTTAGGCTGCACTGGTGCGAAATACATAATAAATAAAAGAAAAACAATGTTATTTTTGAAAAGTCGAGAGCTTCCTGAATCCGGCAATACCAAACATCACATGGTTTACTACTGCAGTTTCTCCTGGGTTGGGCTCTCTTTGAGTTAGATTAAGTGGACTAAAATGTTTTTTGGATATTTTAAGCTCTGCTGTAAAGTCCTGCTGCTGGTTCTGTGGTTCTCTTCGTGGTGAGGGAGCAAACTGGGAGACAGGAGGATGATGTTGAGAGGGTGATTGTGTCTCAAACAGAGGAGGTGAGATATGATCTCATCTTTGTTAATGTGGTGTCGGTACATGAGATGAGAGTTGACAAATACTCAAAATATTTGCTGGTTTCTGTGGTGGTTCGTTAAATGTGCAGCAACCTGAATCTTTTCTTCCTCTCCAACAATGTGCCCTCTCCTCTCCGTGCTGCAGGGGAACTGTTCCGCAGTATTGTACTTTAGCACAATCTCAAGGAACTTGTGCTTCACTTGAGTATTTGTATTTTATGCCACTTCATACTCCTGCTCCTCTGTGTTTACTGTATGAAGGAAATATTTTATGTTTTCACTCCGTTTAATATTTCACATTGAAACCATATAATGATCTTATACAATATGATGGTTTGCTGTAGAATAACTCTGAGCAGCTACAATGTAATAAGATCTCATTCATATTTTAAAACATATTTTTTGTAGATTAATTATTAGCTATTAATAATGTGTGTGGTTTGTCTAGTTGTTTCAGTTCAAAGGGCTCTAAAGGGGCACAGAAATACATTAAATATAATAAATTAAGACAATATTAAAATTGTATTAAAAAGACAATAAATAAATAAATTGAGAAAAGGAAGAAGAGAAAAAACATAAAAAGAAAATTAAAAAAAAACAGCAAAAATATAAAAGTGATATGGTTTTAAGCCCTGATTTAAATGATGTGTTCAGGGAGCTCGTTGCACAGGTGGGGAGCAGAGGAGCTATCGTATTGTACAATCAGAAATGTGTGTAGGCATGAAGCCATTTGGTGCTTTATACAAGTCAATGGATTTTAAAATCCAAGTAGTCCGAGAAGGGTGGACAGGGATCCCGGTCTCACTCAGAAGTCGAAATCTGGGTGTGAAACAAGGTGTCCTTTAACGTTGGCATGACACGCAGCCAGTTGTGGTTACAGTTTAACAGCACTTGGCAGCCTCAAGGGACAAGGACAAAAGTTAAGGCGGCCAAAATCCGACTGAGGCGGGCTGGAATGGTCGTGGATGAGTCCAAAAAGACCGACTTGCACCCAAGAGAGCGGCGTTTGTGTCCCGTAAGATTCTAAAGCCAAGCTCTGTTCTTTTTTCCTGAACTCAACCATGTGTTCTTGTTGTTGAAGGAAAAAAACATCAGTTGGCAGTGTTGTACCGACGTAGTGCTTTTATTTTGAAAGAGACTGTATGCAAACTGTACATTTCCTGTGAAAACAGAAGTGTATTTTCAAAACAGACAATGCATGTAACAGGCTGAAGTTGACACGGCGTCCCAGAACCAACACACCCAGGCAGACGTTGCGCTAGACTTTTTCGTCGCCGGTCATTTTGATCGACAGGGTCATAAAAATCTGGTCATAATCTATTTTTACCGGTCATTTTAATTTTCGTTTTTAAATGATAATAAAGATATTCAAAGACATTTAGTTTTCATTCGTTCGTTTTTAATAAATCCATCAAGCAAGTTATAAAGTGTGCATTAATAAGGACATGAACGAAAAGATGAACAGACATCCACACACCCGTGCCATTAGGCTTCGCCCTGGACACACCGGACGGCACTAACGCGTCACTAACGCGTCCGGTGTGTCCAGGGCGTTATGTAGTTATGCCTGTAGGCTCGGTGACACAAAATTAAAATTGTAATGAAGTGATTATGGTATTGAAAAATGTGTTCGGTTATGCACTGTTGTGTTATTTTAAATTATAAACACGGTATTTTCTCCTCACGTTCCTCAGTGCGTGCTGTTGTTATTTTATTTTGAAAATTGGCCGGATTCTCTCGTCTTTTCTGTGTCCGACTTCCTGTTTGGTACGATCCGCTCGATCCAGCTTGACAGAAGCGCTCGCGGCTCCCGTGAAAAATAGACCAGACGCCGAACTGAAGCGCTGCCTCCGCGGGCGCTCCGCTCTGCTCAGCGGCCTGTGTGGACAGTCAGATAGGTTAACATGGGCGCTGACTGAAAACTGCCTCCGCTGCTGGGCGCTGTGCTTCGGTTCCGCGTCCGGTGTGTCCAGGGCGTTATGTCAACAACGCTACATGAAGCAGATGAATGACTTTTTCTCTGCAGTGTGAAAACGGCAGCCACTTAAACCACTGACTGTGCACTCCGCCGCCAAGTGGGCAGGGGTGGTAATTGCAACCGGTCAAAATGACCGACGGCCTTCAGATTTTCCGGTCATTGCTGTAAAAAAACAGTCAATGACCAAGAATATCCGGTTAACGCGACCCCTGCACCCAGGGTACCTTGGACGTCATATGTGGACGTGGAAAGTCCATGAGCAAACGTGCACATGTGACGAGGTCGCAGTGAGGATGTGCTGGGATGGGAGGGGTGTTGGATGGGCCCAAAAAGACC